ACATTAACCAGCTCTGAAGGGGGGAACCAGCCCCTTGCAAAGAAAAGGATGAGGGTGGAGGCGGCTCTAAGGTGGATCCGTGGCACAAGCCCTGGGTCCCACTAGAAGGGAGCAGCTGCTGTTAGCCAGCAATGGCCCTCCCCCAACATTACAGACACCCACAGGTGTATCAAGGGGCAGGGGAAGCGGGCAAATCCAAGGGTGTCAGACAAGGCCAGTAATGACAGGCTCCCCAAATAGAGATGGCTCTGCACAGAGGCAGCGGACAAGGTGGTCCCAGGTATTCTGTCCTGGAGAAGGGAAATCAGGTTGCTTCTTGAAACTCCATCTCACATACTTTGGGCGCGTTGCCAGGAGGCTAGTCCTTGGAGAAGAATGCTGTGCTTGGAATGGTAGGCAGCACAAGAGAGGAAGAGCTTAGCTGAGATGAATTGACAGACTATGGCAATGGGGTTAGGTGTGTTATAGACAGTGAGGCTGGCTCAGGACAGAGTGAGGTTCAGAGCCATTGTTCACAGGGTCACCATGAGTTGTGATTGACTCTATGGCACCTAACAACAACAGTGGCTTCTATCAGTGCCCTTCATCTTGAAAGGTGGCTGGGGAATTTAGAGATAGTTCAGGCACTGGCTACTGATAGGCCCTGGGTCAGAGTCACAGGGACCTTGAGGGAGAACGGGACATAGCCCGTGTGCAGTGTCACCTGCCAGATGCTGCTGCCAGAATCGGGCCAGGCGGGTGGGGGCCTAGGGTGGTCCACACCCCCTCTGTCCTGCTCCCCTGGCAGGGCCCACCAGGGAGTCCAGGGCCCAGTACGGGGTCCTTCCTGATGGGGCCGTGGTGGCTCCTAAGTGCCTCCAGCAGCCACAGGTCCCCTGTTCTTTGCCTGGGTGGGCTGCCTCTCTTTGGGACTTCATCCACCAAGACCAGAGTTCAGGGAACTGTCTACTTCTTGCCTGCCTGTATCGTCAGTAAATCCCTAAGCCGGGGAATTCTTCCAGCCTCCTGGTGCCTGGGGAGCGGGTGTTGGCCAGAAGGGAAGGGGTCTCAGGCCACTAATGATCCCCAGTTGGGATTGTGCTCCAGTGCTGACAGTGCCCGCATCCCCGCAGCTCTAGTCCTAAACCCTGAGTGGCCCCCAGCGCCCGATCGGGAGACGCCCGGGGCAGTCGGAGCCCAGCGCTGACCGCAGCACCCCCGGGTCCAGGGGAGGGGCTCGCCTTGGCCCCCTCAGGTGAGCGTGGGACAGTGTTTGCCGTGAGTCAGATCTCCGCCGGGTGAAGGGAACACACGCGCGCCGCGGAGCGCACTCCTGTGAGTCTTTCGGCCCCTCTCCCCGCGATCGTCCCCTGCGCACGAGACCCCCAGACGAGCCGCCACACCTGCCCCGCGCGGCCGCCCCGGGGCGACTTCGCGGCTGCCTGAATTGGCTGGCGACGCGGGGCCGGGAGTCGGCGCGCCTCTCTTTTGAAG